GGCTGAGGCAGGAGGATCATAAATTTGAGGCCAGCTTCAGCAATTTAACAAGGCCCTGAGTAACTTAGGGACACCCCGTCTCAAAATAAAAAGGGCTGGGGATGTGACTTAGTGGTTAAGCACCCCTGGGTTCAATCCCTGGTTACCCCCTCCCTCCAAAAAAAAAAAAACACTTGGACAGCCATGAAAAGTCATATTAGTAGGTCTCAAAGAATGGGCCACTTTTTTAAGTAAAAATATTAGAAACACTCTGATCATAAATGTCAGGAAACTAGAAATTAATGTCAAATCAGAAAAAAACAAAAATTATTTCTGATTTGATTTTTATACCAAATAGAAATTCAAAAACATGCTATTAAAACATTTACAGAATTTCTAATAAGTAATGATGACAGCTCTGCATTTCAGAAGACATAGGATACTTTTTTTTAAAGTGACCAGAGGAAAATTCATTGCCTTAAATATTAATGTCCCTAAAAACAAAAGTATAAAAATAAACGAACTAAGATTCAATTTCAAAAAAATCTAGGAAAAGCATAATAAAGGAAACCAAAAGAAAAGCATAAGGAAAGAAGCAATAAAGACAAATGCAGAAGTAAAATATATATATATATATATATATATATATATATATATAGTAATATAATTAATTATTAAAATTCTGGTTCTTTGAAAAATTGCCAAAACAGATTAACACTAGTTAATCAAGAAAAAAGGCAAAAAACACAAATATACAAAAATAAGAAATAGAAAGGGGAAAATAATCACTGATAGAGGCAATTTTTAAAAATCATAAGAAACTTCCATGCAAATAAATTTGAAAACCTACATAAAATGTAGCCACTTCTAGTTTGTGGTCACATCACTCCAAGCTCTGCCTCCTTCTTCACGTGACCTTCTTTCCTGTGCTTCTGTGTGGTTTTTCAAATCTCCCTCTCTGTTTTTATAAAGAGACTGGTCACTGGATTTAGGGGCTCTCCTACAGGTTTATGGATCTGATGTCACCTTAGCCACTTCTGCAGAAAGGACCTGACTGGCTGCAGGGATCAGACAGAGTCCTGCAGCTACTCAACCATGGCTCCAAAAGGCAGGTGAAGAGAGTTTGAAGCGGGGACTCTTTACAGAAGGACAGGTGAAGGATCAAGGGAACAGAGAAGCCTGGAGAAGCACCTGGACTTTGGAAGGCTATCATGTAACCCCTAAGTCCATAGGGGCAAGAGAGCACATCTGTGGCCTTGGGAGCACCCAAGGCTATGGGCTAGGCTGCTGGATACTGGAGTGGAGAATAAATATCTCCTCTTCCTTCACTGACCATACTCTGACCTGCAGCTAGTGTCCCCCCATGCCAGAGGCCAAGAAACCCCAGATGTGATATCCACAGAAGTCAGCCCTGGGAGACACAGAGCAGACAAGAAGAGTGGATCAAACAGAAAATATCCAGCCCTGCCCACTTCTGGGTTGCTTCTGTTTCTAGTAGTTTTTTGAAATAACTGGATTTGATGAAGCTCTTTGCAAGGATGGCAGCCGCAGAAAGTTTCAGTTGTCATAACTACATCCAGGGTTCTGACAGCAGTGAAAGGAAGTGCCAAGAGGAATGGGAAAGAAAAGGAACAGGAAGGAGAAAGAGATGTTCCAGGCAGGGTCGGGAGTAATGGAGTGGAGGAAGCTCTCTGCTGTCACGCACTCACAGGTTGAGCTCTGAGCCTTTTTTAAAAATCGGTGCATTGAGCTGTTTACCTACCTTGAGCCCTTTCCGCAGCCCCACATCTGTCGTTATATTGGATGTCCTCGTGGAGCCATCATGCTGCTCCTGAGCCCATTCTCACTTATATTAAAGCACTTTTTAATTGCCACATCTTCCAAGGCAGAGAAAGCCTGTTCTGAATACAGCTTTAAAACCAACAGCAATCAGCAAGAATCCATCAATTAGCATTCGGCATTAAGCAAAGCAGACTATTTTCCAAGGCTCCAAGGGCCTCTCCACACCTGAACATTTAACAAGGTTCATTCTCTCTTGTTTGAATAATTTGGGGGGCTCTTGACTCACAATCTTGACTGACAGATAGTTTTCCTCAGCTGCCAAAAGAATAACGAATTTAATACAGCAGCTCTTTTCTAACTCAAATGGTACAGTTCCAACAAAGCTCTTTGCTACTCATTTTTTTTTAAAAGGGGAAAAAAAAGCATCTCTGCTTCAAACCACTAATTATAATTTATTATCACAATACTTCCTAGGAAGCTGGGTTCTTGCTATAATTAACTGCTGTGAGTAGGATGTAGCAACTGTTTATTTAGTTTCAATCTACTTGTTCGGAATTTATCACTCCCTGAAACTTAACTCACAATCATAGTTAAGTTCAAAATGTTATAGAAGCATTGTCAACCCTGAGCTGAATATTTCCTAGCAATTTTCTCTCTTTTTCTCACAAATTTTATGTAGGTGATGTTGGCCATTTTCTCTAGTTGAGGGGAAAAGATTTGACCCTAAAATGTTAACACATTTATTCCTTTTGCATAATAAGGTTGAAATGAATATCACACACATTTTTCAAATGCTGGACTGTGAGAATTTTGAAAGTTCAGTTTTATTGTCTTTACTTCATAAGTGTAATGAAGAGACCTCAGAGTCACTGTACTGAGGCATGTTCCAGCCTCACTTTCCTTATCTATATAATGGGGATGATATGACACAGCTTACCAAATCGTTGTGATGATGGAGTATTATCTAAGCATCTAGCAATGGACTTGGCACAGAGGAAACAATTCCTACTTTTATTTTTGCCGGCCAAGGAGAGACAACATGGCAATGATGAATGTGGGTAAGAGAGTGTGTGTGCTTATGCTGATGTCTGAGTCCTTGGTGGGAACTGCCTACAATGAACAGTGGGGCAATGACAGTCTCTAAACAGGTCAGACTTCTGGAATGTTCCATGCTTAATTCATAACATAGTCACCAGAGCTAAATGGTTTTAGGTTATTTGAATCACAAGTGCCTGGGGCGACAAATACTTCAGGCAGTCAGTTTCTTATCTCTCTGTTTCTGACTTTCAGATCATTTGGCACCATGAAGTGAGATTCCCTTCTTAGGAATGAAGTAAGGGAGTTGGCTCCTCGCCATCTTTGGTGTGAATTCATGAGCCTATTTGTAAAGTACTGGGGATTCCTGGCAAGAAAGTTGCTTCATAATGATATATTTCACCTATAGTTAGTTATTGAGATGTCACTTCTGGCAGCACAGAAACTTGTCATGCAGAGATTTAATTTGGTAACACCTAACAATATTAAAAGGACATTTACAAAAACATTACTGATACATTTCATCTTTTGCAGAACATAAGTAGTTTGCTATTTGTGGTGATAAAAATAATATCTGGTTATTGTAAAACACTAGAAACAAGAAAAGCATTGTACAGTAAAGAGTTAACTCATCAGGCTTGGGCTGTTCAAACCCTGCTCCATCTCCAGAACTGGCCCTGGGCCCAGCTCCCGGAAGATGGCCTCTAAGCCTTCAGGAGATAGTGCCTAATGAAAGTGGCTTTGTATGCCTGAGACTTTGGGCCACACTATGTCAGTTTCACCTGGAGTCTGAGTAGCTGAGGTTAGTCCTGCAGACACTGAATGTGTAGGTGACTGAGCCCTGAAAACCAAAGCCCCAGTGACCTCCCTGTTTGGCAACAATTCCCATGTGCTGTCATATGCTGCTGTCCGTGTGACTCCACTATGAAAGGACAACCAGAGGCTTTCCTGCACTCCATCCTAGGTGACTTTTCCCTCTGTTGATTTTAACCTGTAGCCTTTTGCTATAATAAATTGTAAGAAAATGGGGCTGGGGTTGTGGCTCAGTGGCAGAGCACTTGCCTTGCACATGTGAGGCACTGGGTTTGATTCTCAGCAGCACAGAAAAATAAACAAAGATATAAAAAAAACCTGAGGGTGGTGTTGAGAACCCCAATGCAAACAAAAAATAAAATAAAAATTATCCATTTCCTACTTCTAATAACATTTAAATACACACACACACACACACACACACATACATACATACATAAACACTTCTGTTTATGGAAAATGGATCATACTGTTTGGTAAATTTTTTTCAGTTAATATATAACGAACACATTTTCCTATGCTGGTCAATAAATTATTTGCATAGCATTCTATTGTATAGAACCTGTGGTACATTTATTTAATTAATCATCTATAAAAGACATTTGGGTATTTTTCTCTCTGGCTATCTCTTTGTATTATAAACAGTACTGCCAAAAAAAAAAAATCCTTGCAGATAATCTCTTTGTAAGCTTATCTAATTATTTGTGATGCAAAGATTTAACAATTGGTAACATCACTTGGAGTGATTAATGAGATATGTCAAACAGGTAACGTTTTTAAGACTTCTATCCAGAAAAATTATGACAATTAAAATTATTGGAATTGGGCTAGAATTTGAATAGATCCTCATCCATTAGATTCACAGAAACCTGTGTCTCCACTATTTTTCAATTTCTCACATAATGCACTATTAGGTACTATAGATTCTAGAAAAGGATTCTAGATTGATTCTAAGCACATACTTCATAACTTTCCACCGAGATTTATTATAATCCACTTTTCCAAAATTGTCAGATATTAAAAAAACCTGACCTAAAACCAAGAAGTTACAAGACCAAGAATACCCACCAATAATTTAACTGCCTGCCAGCCCAAAGTTTAATAATCTTAAAGTCAACATAGTCTAGAGCTGCTCAATATATCATCTATAATGTCTAGCATTCAGAAAAAAAATACTAGAAAATGTGGTCCCTAATCAATAAGAAAAACAGCAAATTAAACCCACCCACAAAAGACTCAGATATCAAAATTACTGAAGAGTAATTTTATAAAATAACTATTACAAATATATTCAAAGATTTAGAGGAAAATACATAAAATGGATGAGTAGATGGGGAATTCCAGAAGAGAAATGCTTAGAATCCATCCTTCATGGAATTGAAAACATAATATCTGAAATAAACAATTTATTGAAGGTATTAACTAAGAACTGGGCACAGAGGAAGAAAGGATCAGTAAACTCAAAGTTAAATCAATACAACAAAGTGTTATGGTTTGGATATGAGGCATCCCCGACAAAAGCTCACACATTAATGCAGGAGGTGGAATGATTAGATTATGAAAGCTATAGCCTAATCAGTGTATTAATCCACCTGATAGATTAATCTACCTGGTGGATTAATAATTTGAGTGGATTACTGGATGATAACAGTAGGCAGGTGAGGCATGGCAGGAGGAAGTGGGTCACTGGGTATGCCTTGGGGATTATATATTTTGTCCCCAACTTTTTGAACTTGCTCTGCTTCCTGACTGCCAAGGGCTTAGCAGCTTTCCTCTGCCATGTCCTTCCACCCTGATCTTCAGTCTTCTCTCAGGTCCAGAGCAATGGAGTTGGCTGACCATGGACTAAGATCTCTGAAACTGTGAGCCCAAAATAAAATTTTTCTCCTCTACGTTGTTCTTGTCAGGTATTTTGGTCACAGCTATGAAGAGCTGCCTAACATACAAAGTAAACCACATAAAGTAAATAATAATAATGATGATGATAATTAAAGAGTAAGACTATCTGAAACTTGTGAGACGTTATCAGACAGTCTAATAGAGAGAGAATGTGTGTCCCAAAATGATAATACAGAATGGGTAAGAAATGTTTTTAGAAATAAAGAATGAAATTGTTCCAAAATTGGTGAAATATATCTACAGATCCAAGAACCTAAGTGTATCCCAAGCAGATGAATATAATATCTACTCTTATGGTTTAGATATTAGGTGGCCCCCCAAAAGTTTACATATGATACAATGCAAAAAAGTTAAGAGGTAAAATAATTGGGTTATGTGAGTCTTAACCTAATCAGTGCATTAATCTCCAGATAAGGATTAACTTGGTAACTGTGGGCAAGATGTGGCTGGAGGAGATGGGTCCTTAAAAGCATGCTTTTGGGGTTTATATTTTGTCGCTGAAAAGTGGAGTTCTGTGTGTCTCTCCGTCTCTCTGCTTCTTGGTGGCTATGTCCTGACCTGCTTTCCTCTGCAATGTTATTCCACCGTGATGTTCTGCCTCGCCTCGAGCCTCCAGAAATGGAGTTGACCTTCTATGGACTGAGACTTCTGAAACTGTGAGCCCCAAAGTAAACGTTTACTGTTAAAAGTAAAAGTAAAAAAAAAAATTATCAGGTCTTTTGGTCACAGCAGCAAAAAAGCTGACCAAATACCTACATTCATCATAGCCAAACTTCCAAAAACCAAAGAATAAAGAGAAAAATCCTTAAAGCGGTTTTTAAGGGAAAGGGAACATATTACACTAGGGTACAAATTTATTGCTCTGTTTGTTTAGCACTGTGGATTGAATGCAGGTGTGCACTAAGTTACATCCTCAGCCCTTTCTGTTTTTCACTTTGAGATAAGGTTTTGCTAAGTTGCCCAGGCTGGACTAGAACTTGCCATTCTCCTGCCTCAGCCTCTTGTGCAGCTGGGATTATTGGTGTGTGCCACCATGCCTGACTATCAAAAAACTATGGATGTCAGAAGTAGAATGGCGTTTTTCAAAGCACTAAAAGAAAATATTGGTCAACTTAGAATTCTACATCCAGTAAAAAATACGCTCCAAAAATGAAGACAAAGTGTAGGCATGTTTAGACAAATAAAAATAGAATGTATTAACAACAGATTGGCACTACAAAAGAATGCTAAAGAGAAACAATCTTAGAGGCTCAGATCTGTAGGATGAAGTAGAGTCTTAGAAAGTGTAAAATATGGGGACAAAAATAAGAGACTGGTTAAAAGTCTTTCTTTTAAAAAAGTCGAAGAAGAGTTTATTCTCTATGGAAAGGCAAAGGTCCGACAATAGCCATAAGGCTTTGAAAAAGAAGAAGAAAGGGGAACTAATTGCTTTACCCATTTTTTATACTTACTTTTTAGTTACAGTAATCAAGACCATGTTTGTGATGCAAAGACTTCAGCATATATTGGTGGAGAAATAGACACACAGAAACAAAACAAAGAACCCAAAAAAAGAGCCTCACAAATAGGCCCAACCATCTTTTCACAAAAGTACAAAAGCAATTCAGTGGAGAATGGAGAGTCTAATCAACAAATGGTGCAGGAGCAACTGGAGAAAAACAAAGCAAAACCACACACACAAAAAATCCCAATCTAAGCCTCTGGCTTTATATAAAAAGTTATTCAGAATGAACTAGAGACTTAAATGTAAAACGCAAAACTATAGGACTTTTAGAAGAAAATACAGGGGGAAAAAATCTTTGGAATTTAGAGCTGAATCAACATCATTAGCCATTAAAATTGGCACCAAAAGCACAGTTCATGAAAAAATAAATTGATATATTAAAACTTGTTTTCGGGCTGGAGCTGTGGCTCAGTGGTAAGCACACTTGACTGGGATGTGTGAGGAGCCACTGAGTTTGATTCTCAGCACCACGTATAAATAAATAAAATAAAGGTCCATCAATGACTAAAGAATATTTTTTTAAAAAACTTATTTTTACTGTGAAAGACTGTAAGAGGATGAAAAAGACAAGATACAGACTGGGAGAAAATATTTGCAAATTACATATCTGATAATATTCTATTATATCTAGAATATACAAAGAACTCACAAACTCAGAAAGAAATAAAGCAAGCCAATTAGAACACTCACAAAAGACATTAACAGACATTTCACTAAAGAGGACAGACACATGACAAATAAACATAACAAAAGTTGTTTAGCATTAGGTTAATGCAACTTAGTCATTAGATAAGTGAAAATTAACAACAATGAGCTATTATTATAAAGTTCATAGAACAACTAACAAAATATAATAACTGTAAATGCTGGTAAGAATGTGGGAAAACTGAGTATTTCTTACATTGCTGGTGGGAGTGTAAAATGGGACAACCGCTCTGGAAAATAATTTGGCAACTATTTATAAAATTAACACACATGAATATGACCTAGCACCTGCACTCCTGGGTATTTATCCCAGAGAAATGAAAACTTATGTTCACACAAAAACTTTTACATGAATGTTCATAGCAGCTTTATTTGTAATTACCAAAACACAGAAATGTCCTAAAAAAGCAAATGGATAAGCAACTGTGGTACATCTCTACAGTGGAATGCTATTTGGGCAATAAAAAGGAGCAAACTATTGATAAATGATGCCTATGGCATGGAACTCAGGGGCATAATTCTGAGTGAAAAAAGTCTATCTTAAAAAGAAGACATACTATATTATTCTATTTGTGTAATATTCTCAAATTGAAAGAAATACAGAGATGGCGAACAAACTAATGGTTGCCCAGAGGGATAGGAGGAGGTCAGAGGGCGGTATGACTCTAATAGGTAGTTCAAGGAAGTTCCTTCGAAGTGATGGGACACTTTTGAGTCTTGCTTATGTTGGTAATCACATAAATCAGCACATGTGGCAAAGTTGTATGAAATACGTATACTCACTCATCTGGGAATATTGGTACAATCTGAAAATGACAGTTAAGAATAATATACAAATATACATTTCCTGCTTTTGATGTGGGGTTCTAGTTAGGTAGGATGGTACTCGTGGGGCTGGGGTGGGAAGGATGCACAGGACTCTCTGTACTCATTTCTTCCTGAGAGTCTGCAACTATTTCGAAATCAAAAAGGTTTTGAAACACTATTGATCACTTAAAGCAAAAGCCCTAACAATGTATGGCTGGGTCCAGAACACAGAGAAAGAGTAAAACAGGCAAAACAACAGCACATATAAAGAAACAGAGTTAAATACTATTATAGGTGTCTTATTAGATTGTTCTTGACGAGCCCAGTCCCACCCGACAGCGTGGACGCCCTCCTCACCCTGCGGGGGCCTGACTCCTCCCCCACCACTAAGCAGCTCCCCAAGCCCCAGAGCACCAACCTCACCCACAGGTGTCAAAAGTCCTGCTCTGAACCACTGAGACTCCCGGCCTCAGGCCCCTCTTGCTCAGCTCCACCTAGTGGTTTTGCAACAGAACTGTTCCGACAGGGAAGGAAAAAGAAGAGCCAACTGTAACTTTTCAATGAAAACACAGTAATAAAAACCTTACCAAATGACTTGCCGGGTCCTGATGGAATCCAGAGCTTGCTCGATCACTTTTCCTCTAGTTTTGTCTGTGCGCTGCAGCTGTCCCTCTGGGCCCAGTCTGGGGTTGGCTTCTTGACAGTCATTCTCAAGCAGGACCTCACCAAGACAGTGTCCAGGCTTCCAGACACAATTCAGCAGAGGCTGCCTTTACCTGACTGTTACCTGTGCTGTAGCCGAACCTTATGGTCCAGGGCCTTCCCTTCATCTCAAACCTACCAACTTCCTGGCTTTGCTCTTAGTTTAGATTTAAATGCCGGCTCCCATTTTATTCTACTCCCTTCCAAATCATTCAGGAGAAGGTAAAACACTGAAGCAATTACATTTTAAAACTAGTGCATTCCTTAGTCATGTGCTGTGCCACACACCTGTAATCCCAGTGGCTCAGGAGGCTGAGGCAGGAGGATCATGAGTTCAAAGCCAGCATCAGCAAAAGCAAGGTGCTTAGCAATTCAGTGAGACCCTGTCTCTAAATAAAATACAAAATAGGGCTGGGGATGTGGCTCAGGGGCCGAGTGCCCCTGAGTTCAATCCCCAATACCCTTGTACCTCCCCCCAACCCACTGAAAAGAAAACTAGCACATTTCTTGTAAAAGAGGAGGCACTGTGATAGCAAGAGACTCTTGAAAAATGAAGAAATAAGTGGATGCAGGGCAGGTGCCTTCAAGGTCACACCTGGACGGTACTGGGGACTGAGGCTGATCTAGATCTGACTGAAGGATGCTTCCCCTGAGCAGGCAACTTGAAGAAATATGACCCCCAGACCCCAGTTATAAAGGTAGTGGTCACTCATTGGAGCCTGAGGCCCCAGCTCTCCTTGCCCCAGTGCTGTGACCACCTGAGTGGATAAAGGAAGCTTGTCTTTGACACTTCCCAACTTTGCTTTCAGGGTCCTCCTTGGGGGCTTCTTCCCTGTTGAAAGTCATGTGATTTCATTTCTTTCTGGAATTTCTGTATCATTGGAAAGTAATGCCATTAATGAAACCGCCCTGATGCTGCCAGTGGTTTAATCCACCCCTTGCAGAAAACATACCACCCACACCTAGCATCAGCTACCTGGAGTGGGGTCTGGGAATGGGGGCCACCCATGCACAAGAAGGAACCTGGACAAGAGTGGGCCTGGCCAGGTGGGTGCTTCCCAGGGTGACGGTACTGGCCAGTCTGCTGGACACTCTACCCCTCTTCCACCTCAGCTTCCCCAAAGTCTTTGTCTCAGTTCCCTGAACCAAGTCCCTTGGAGGGCCACGGGGCAGGCTCTGCTGCAGACCTGTGTCCCTCCGGCTGCAACACAAGACACGAGGGGTCTGAACAGCGCCCGGGTCCTGTGTTGTAGCCCGAGGACTCACACCATGTCACAGTGGGACCAGCCTGCCCCTGCCTGGCCAGTTTCCTCTTTCAGGTGGGCCACCAGGCTTCTGCTTGGAGAATCCAACTTGCTGTGCATCCAGATGAAGAAGCTGTAAAAGAACAGAGGCTGGCATGGGTAGTGGGCCTTGGCACTGTCCTCCCATCAATAGGGGAAAACCCACTGGCCTGGATCAAGGAGGCTGGCCGTGTCCAATGTCACACCCTGCCCTGGCCGCCTGGGTGACATGCACTCCAGGTGATGGAAATGCTCAGAGGAGAGAGGCCAGGCACACATTTCACTGTCCACACTTTCCCCCCTCTAAACAATGAATTATGGCTGTTTACAAGCCACTAATTACAGTTATTATAACAATACTTCCTAGTAAATGTTCTTACTCTAATTCCATGATGAGAATTTTATAAATGCTAGACTAGCACAATGAATTGCCCTGAATTATAATAAATATCTGCACTTAGGGAGCAAAGCAGTAAACCCAATATTATTGTTATCCATTTCCAGTGGGCTTGTAGAGGATTTATGTCTTATTCATGGTTTATTTTTATTAAAAAAAACTCCTATATATCATTTTGATGTGGATTTTTTTTGATGAGTTATTTCATTTTTTTCTCCTACAAAATCAAATGAACTTTCTTCCAAGAAGTTCCAACTTGCCTGACCTTGCCCTTCCTAAGCTCTTGGAGTGGGGGCAGGTAAATAGCCCTCTGGCTTATGCTTATGATTCCTTGTGTCTCTGGGTCATTCTGCCCTGTCTCCCAGCTATTATATACTTTTTAAGGCTTTAATGTGTTCTAGGGGCTTAGAAAAGGGCTTCTGATAAAGAAGAGCCTGGTATCACAGAACCACCAGCCAGCAGCCCACTTCTGGGGACCCAGTGGAGTCCCCCCAGCTCTGGGTCTGGCCCTCTGCTTCCAGATGCCAGACATCATCCATAACCATGAGCAGTTGAGCTCAGAGGTGCTGGCTCATTCTGACAAAACTCAGAAGAAACTGAAATTCTGCACACTTCACCTTGGAAGACAACAGAAATGGGCTGCATTATTGAGTTCGGTGAGAGAGAAAGGAAGATATCCCTGGGCTCACCATCAGCTTCCAACCACGAACACGTGCAGCACCCTGGCTCTGTATTTTTGACACTAAGGAGTACAGAAGCAGCCAGGATGCTGGGGAGAAAGCCCATGGAGACACAAGGGCAAACCCAGCTCTGACCATGACGGTGAGTGAGGCCACAATGAGTAAACCCCAGAAGGAGTCCCTGCACATGCCCTCTACTTTGGAGAACTGGTTGATCTCCACTGTCACTGGGAACCGGCAACCAAAATGTGGGAAGGCAGGGGCGAAGCCTCAGTCTGTGACAGCCCCTAGAGCTGCCTCTGGAGCATCCTCCCAGAGGCTGCAGTCTGGGCCTCCCCTGATCCCTCCGGTCAGAATCCTGGCCCACATGGTGGGCTCAGCTGGAAGGGCAGTGGGATAAGTCTCAGGCAGCTGAGAACCACACAGGGCCTGAACAGTAGAAAATGGGTTGTGTTCCAAGAAGATGAGGACAAGCCAAGCCTCCTGTGGCCCCTTGCTGCCAAGGACCTTCCCCCTCCATCCCCTCCCTATCTAGTCCTGGAGGAACCAGTCTCCTCCTCTACGGCCCTGCTGAGATGGGGCTGCATGATGTATTTGGACCCAAGAGAGGTTAAAGTAAAGAAAGAAGGAGAATCAGAAAGAGAAGCCCAAAGCAAACCCTGAAACACATCACCCACCTGCAGGAGATGGGAATAGGAAATTAGCACATAGCCAGGGCATCAGGCAGAGACAAAGGGGACAGAGTGCCTTGGTTACTAAGTCTCATAGCATCCGCAACAGGCAGAGTGTTGGGGGCCTCCAGAAGAGTCATGATGCCTGGAATGGGGAAGGATTTTGGCAACCGAGAGAAGTCACCTACTGAATAGCCAGTGGTCTTGGTGGAGCACAGGTGGATTTCGGGGCAGAAATGGGTCACATTGCATGTCCTGACAGCTTCCCCACCAGGAACTCCTGAGAGGGTGCAGGTCAGACCCAGGGTGGACGAGGCCTGCAGGACAGGACAGTCAGCAAAACTCCCACCTAGGCTATGCATTCAAGGCACAGGTCCCTGGGTATGCTTTATAGCGGGGGTAGAGCTCCAGATGCCCTGTCCTGTCGTTTGGGAGGAAGAAGGCCTGAGCCAGAGGCCAGGACATCTGAAGGACCCTGAAGCGTGTGCATCAGTAAGGGCCTGATGGAAGACAGGCTCCTGGTCCCTCACGCCCCTCAGAGGGGCTGCCTGTGGTGTGCCCCCACACCTATGCAGATACTCCTTACATGACGGATTGCACCAAGGGACAACGAGGGAGGCAGCCACAGCTCTTGCCCCATCCCTGCCCACCCAGCCCATGGCTTGAACCAGCAATGGGCCCTATGGCGGTGGGGAGGACAGGACTGCAGAAGCAGGGGAAGGAGAGACCGGCATAAAGGTATTTCTCATCCACTGGGAGCTCTAGAAACCTCCTGAAGTCTGGCAAATAACTGAGAGACTGTAGCACCACTTGAAAGATGACAATGTAGGAAATGTTAAAAATGGCTGTCGTCATGCGGGGTGGTGGGTGGCAGCGGGAGCACCAACAAAACGGGCCCATTTGCCTTCCATTTGCCTCCGGTGCTATTTGCACTCCATTTTCCTCTATTTATTTTTACACCCTAAAAAAATTGGCCTGCACATTAAGCAGTCACCTTTCATCCATTTGTAATTCTCTCCCTCTGGGGCACCATAAATTTCCGTTATATGATTATCATACTAGAGAACTAATATGCTTTTCCCCCTTGCCTTCAGAACAGGGCCTCACAGCTGCTTCCAAAGCAGGACCCAGGACTACAGAGGAAGGGGAGGAAAGGAGGGAGGGGGGTAGGGAGGGAAGGGGGAGGGAGGGAGGAGGAGGAGGGAGGGAGGGAAGAGCTCCAGCCAGTCATGCCCACACCTCCCGTACAGCACCCGGCCCTAGATGCACCCAGCTTATTGCATCTAATAAAAAGAGTCCAATGGTAAAATCTCTATACTCATTTTAAAACAGTACTGTTGGAAAAAAAGTATATATATATATATATATATATATATATATATATATATATATATATATGCATGCATCTTAGATTTTTGAATTCCACCAAGTTCTTAAGAGGGAGAGGGATACCCATGGAGCATATTGACCCCAGAAAAATGATTTTTGAATTCTACACTACAATGCCCTTATTCTATGACATCAGACATATCATTTAAACTTTCTAAGCCTCAGTTTTTTTTATCCTCTGCAAAATGGAGATATTAAAACCTGTCCTGATCTCTGCAGAGTTGCTTGCACAGGTAGAATAACATAGGGGCTTCTCTGTGACCCCTGAAATGAGAATGCTAGTACTTCTAGAAACTACCAGGAAAGAGTGCTAACAATAAAATGTTATGTTAATGCAAGACAGAATTATTATTTAAGGACAGCAATCACTCTTATATTTACTTAATAAACATTTATTGTGCATTTAATATGTACAAGGCTCTGTGTTAGCACTGGAAATAGGTTTGGTGAACCCCTCATCTGTTTAGGTCATCATCAGATTCTGTTACCTACAGCCAAATGCAATCCTATTTCATATGGGAAGGGAGAGGAGAGAGGTTAAAGGACTAAGCTTTAGAGTCTGATTGTTCTTAGTTCATATACAGCTTATATCATAGAGTGCTTAGACCACAGTGCTTGGCACAGAGGACTAGTAGCCACTGTTACTGTCATATACATCAGTGAATGAATGCTTATACTCCCCCCACCCCCACATCCATCTGCTGAAATCTAATGCCCAATGTGATGGTACAAGAGGTAAGGCCTTTGAGAGCTGATTAGGTCACAAGGGTGGAGCCCCATTGGAGGGATTAGTGCCCTCCTAAAAAGAAACACAAGAGAGATGATCTTTCCCTTAGGCATGTGAAGACACAGGGAAAAGTCAGCTGACCACAAGCCAGGCACCTTGACTTTGAATTGTCCAGC